CGAGAGCCTTAACCAGAATGTGAACACTACCGTGTTCCTTCGACAGTTAAACATACATTATGCAAGAGCTAAATCTGCCTATTGCAGGTCTTTCTTAATAATAATAAAAATTTATTAAAGTTACATAGCGCCAAAATCCAGCTGGAAACAGCTGCTCTATAGCGCTTTTACAATGAGACAATTCGAACAAGCGAATAGATTCTTTAGAAAATAAAAAAAAAATAAGGTCTAGCAAAGAAACCATAACATATAAGAGACAAGTAAAAGTATTTCAGTAAACTTATAAAGAAACAACAACATATAAAAGACATGTAAAAAGACATGTAAAAGTATATCAGTAAAATTATAAAAAATAGTTTTCCAATGTAACGATGTATATCTGAGACAGAGAACTTTAAAATCAATCCTTTAGGGAATAGGGAGCCAGTGAAGCTGCTTTAAAACTGGGGAAATAGGGTAGCGAGATGGGGTTATTGAGACAATGCTTGCTGCTTTATTTTGTACAAGTCTTAAGGGGTGGTTTAGTGTTGTAGCAGGTTGAGCAACTTTAACAGATTTTGTTTCATCCACAATCTTATTTCTGCGATGTATTTTTCAAGTTTAATAATATTTTGTTCTTCATTGCAACCGTTCAGTGCAATGTAGAGCTGGGTGTCATCAGCGTATAAATGATAACTTATTCCATGCTGCCGAATGATGTCACCCAAAGGTGAAGTATATGTCGTAAAAAGTAAGAGTCCAAGGACGGAGCCTTGTGGGACACTATATTTGATTGTCTGTGGGTCAGATTGGCAATCACCAATAACTACCATCTGTTTGCGACATTCCAAATAGACGAAAACCAAGATAGAGCAGATCCATCAATGCCAAAACGATGTTTAAGACGGTGCAAGAGTATCAAAATGTCAATTGTGTCGAAGGCTGCACTGAGATTTAGTAGTACCAGAAACACACAGTCATTGTTGTCCATTCCTTTGACAATGTCATTGTGTACTCGTACGAGTGCAGTTTCCGTGCTGTGGCATTTCTTGTAAGCCGATTGAAATAGTTCATCAAGTTTGCTGATTTCAATGAGTTTGCTGATTTCAATGTGAGACTCGAACCTTGCAGCGACCACCAACTTTTGATAAAAATGATAAGTTGGAGACAGGGCGGTAGTTTGTTAAGTTCTCTAGGTCAAGAGGTGTCTTTTTTTAGTAAGGGTCTCACAAGAGCATTCTTAAGGGATGCAGAAACGTCCCCATTTTCTAGTGAGCGATTCACAATATGTGTAACAACAAGACAGACGGCAGATGAGCAAAGTTTTAATAACCATGTGGGTATCGGTTCTAAATCACATGACTTACTTGCAGATTTTGAAATAATTTTGGACACATCAGACGCTGTTGTTGGCTCAAAACTTGTCAGTAAATTGTGTATAGATGGTTCATTGTAGTTTCAGACTGTAGATATTGAATCTTCCAAATCAGGGGCCTGTTTCACGAAATTTTAACTAAGATAAAATCCAAATTTTAGTAATTTGATTGGATAATGTTAGATTGATTTTAGTGCTTAGCCAATCAAAATTGAAGTATCGACTAAAATTTAGATTTTATCTTTTGTTAAGATTTCGAGAAACCGGGCCCAGATCGTATTTTAGTAACCTTTTCACAGAAAAATGATGAGAACTGCTCGGACAGTGTTTTAGCACATTTTACTGGGGGAATCAATTTTTTTTCTACTAATTTAGATATACTATCTATGATTCTGAAAATTTGCTTAGGATTATTTTTATTTAGTTCTATCTTGTTTTTAATAAATGCAGTTTTAGTCTGTTTTATTAATTTATTGGTGATAGTTCTATGATGATTATATATTTGCCTTTGAATTTCGAGTTTATTCTTCCGCCATTTATTTTCTGCTGATCGTTTTGCTTGCTTGGAGTTTTGATATTTCATCATTAAATCACTTTTTGTTAGGCCTGAAATGTTTTCTAAATTATTAATAAGACATTAATTAACTTATCCAGGCAATAATCAACTCTCGATGGCGTCGGATTTCTCTGATATTAAATAGATTTGAACAGTTCAGCCATTATTTTGATTTAAGCTAAAAATGGAGGAGCGAGACTTGGCTTCGAACAACCAGTACGGTGATTCAAATTTTTGCACACGTGTTGTCAAATCTTCCAAGGCTAATCTCTTCGCTCGCAATAGAGTAATTTGAATGAAATTTTCAAATTATTCATTTTATATTATCTATTTTCGAACTATTATAGCAAGAATGGCTATCTCTTTATCTAAATCTTACATAATGTATCTTTAAGCATATTTTGATTGTGTGCAAGCATCTCATTTTTAACGTTGTCATTACATCACATGTTTGCCCACTCGAGTTTATATAATAAAGTGTTAAGACTTTTTAAAAGACAGGTTTTTATCATCAGTTATATATATTTTTGTATTTAAAGTAATTATATCCATAAAAGATTTATTTCTTTTTAATTTTTCTTACTGTGATATTGTTTTTATTTATGCATATAATTTTTTCTGTGATATAATTTAGCCGGTCTCGAAATAATCACCATATGTTTGGCGCAATATAACTCGGTTGGGGCTAACGTGCCATAAAACATTTCATTTCATTTTAAAATATGAGCATTGAAATGGGGAAATTCCGTTCAGTTAGAAATAATAATAATATATATGATTCAATTAAGTGACAAGCTCGTTTACCTTTAATGTGCTCAAAACAACACAACGCGGGGTTTTGACAACGAAACTTATCAGCCATGTAATTTAAAGATGTTTGTATGGGGTAGTTATATGGAAGGTAGAGACCCCAATCTAGTTTGACAAATACTGGATTCCCTGAAAAATACCCACGGGACAAGCACTAGGCATCGGTGTGCTTAACTGTCAAGGGAACATGACAGTGTTCACATTCTGGTTGAGGCTCTCGCTTTAATATGAAAATGTGAGATAAAAAAGTACCTATATGAGAGCGTAACAAAACAACTTCATCCCTCCTGGTGGTTCTATAGGAGTTTAGACAGTCTACTAAGAGACTCGTATATAAAAAAAATAATTGGCAATTTAAAATCGGCGAAAGGGAATGGAATTGTGAATATGTCAAGATCTAAAGCAGACTTGCTGTTAAACTCGTATGAAAGTAGCGGACTATACATATCTGCTACTAATTGGTATTGTTCATTGTTTGTAAAAAGGATAAAGAAGAATTAAATATAACGTGTTTTAAAGATGAAGAGGGTTTAATGAACTCCAAAGCCTGAAGAATGGCCTGGGCCCGATTCCTAGAAAATTCTTAAGCACGTTCTTGTGCTTAGATTTAAGTAGACTTTGCATTTAAGTAAACTTACCTTATTTTGTGTTCCCAGAAAATTCTTAAGAACGTTCTTGTGCTAAGATTTTAAGTAGACTTCGTTGAAGCACAAGAACGTTATTATGCGTTCCAAGAAAAAACTTAAGCACAACTTCGTTCTTAAACATAGTCAATCTAAGCACAAGTCCCAAGCAAGGTATACGGCTTGCTTACCAACCTGAAGTCTGTTTCTGCTTCAAAAAGATGACTGACCGTAGAGTTTTTCGACGGCATTTCCGACACCTTTTGATACCAAACAGACAGTTACAAGACAGAGAAAACCCTTCTCCAGAAAAAATTAAGAATGGTGTAGGAAATTTCGCTTCTACCCTGAAACCATTTTATTTATTTGCCAATTAGTAAACAATAGGCTACAAACACACAGGCGCTTTCACAATTATTCATTTAGTTTGTATGTGTCTGCGTTTTTTATCTTGTGGCACATTTTATGTGTATAGGGGACATGTCAAGTGCATCTAAATCAACCATATAAATATGACGTCAATGAAGCGGACGATAAATTTATGACGTAATTCGCATACCAAAGTTGTTTTTATGACGTTAAAGAGCATCGTAGTCTCAGTTTATGGTAAACTTTACCAGTCACAATGTACTTAGACTTATACTTGATTTGTGCTTACGTAAGAATGGTCTTAAGAATTTTCTTGGGACGCTATTTTTATAAGTTTCTTACGTAAGAAAAAGTGAAGCATGCCTTTGTGCTTACTCTAAGAATTTTCTAGGAACCGGGCCCAGAAGTTTAGTAGTAAATATGAAAGCAGCAGCTAGAAGTCTGGGAGAAATGATTCCAGATGGCGTTACGGTAGCCGAAACTACCCCGTCACCATCTGTGTAAAGAGAGCGAGAAATGGGGTTTAACGTCCACTCGACACAAAGTAGGTCATTTCGAGACTAACATATGGTTCAATTTCATTTCATCAATTCGCTTGCGCGTAGGGGGCTTTAGCAGTGGGGCGAAACCGGAGGACCCGGAGAAAGCCCGTGAGGTTGGACAGGCGACTCTATTCCTTCTCACGTACAACCAAGGAATGAAAACCACGCCAGTTGACCCAATGACAGACCTTATGATACAGCGTACACGTGCTAACCATTCGGCCATTCATCACCACTACCCCCCCCCCCCACGCGGTTGAACAGCGACCCTACTCCTTGCCACGTACCGACCCCCCTCTACGAGGTTGGATAAGCGACCCTACTCCTTGCCACGTACAACCGGGGAATCGAAACTACGCCAGTTGACTCGATGACAGACCTTATGATACAGCGCGCACGTGCTAACCATTCGGCCATCCACCCCACCCCATCTGTTTTAAGGGGAGAATAAAAAACCCACGAGCTTGGGCATGCAACTCTAATCAATACTTAAAATTTAATTTACAACGATAAGGAATTTAATTTAAAATTTATATACATTATTTTGCGATATTAAGATTAATTTAAAACGATATGAAAATTAATTAAAACAGAAATATGTGTGTTTAAATTGCAACAGATCCGTCCACGTGGTAAAGATATAAATCAGCAGCCAAAATGATTTTATGCGTGAAATATTTTTATGTAACGTCAGCTTCCACCGAAGATATATAAACAGCTACAATTTTATATTCTCTACATACAGCCTTACATTGATTTCGTCAAACGGTCGGGTGTATATTTAGAAGTAGACGCTCATCATGAAGGTTTTTATGGTACCCATCTTGTTTGTTCTAATAGACACGACATCAGGTAAATATGTTCATGTAAACTAACGCACATTCTTTACCGTGTCTCGTTTGGCATACTGCAGTAGGGTGAATTATGCCCCGATAGTAAATGTTTAATACGTCGTGCTAATCCGCACAGTATTACTCAATTCAGTATAATATATTTTAATCGATCTTAACCCCTCAGTTATATCTATTTCATATTGTCTAAAACATTTATTTAATCTATTTCATATTGTCTAAAACATTTATTTAATCGCCTGTCTCTAGTATTCTTTGTTTTACACTTTAAATTGACCTTAAACTTTGTAGATAACGTCTATACGGGCTAAAGCATTTTAAATTACCATGGTGTATTGTTTGCATACACGACAGATTTGTAGGATTAATGCCCTAGGAGATACATGGAGATATATAGATATAGACCTAAATAACAGAATTAGATGAAGCTTTCTAGAAACCTGTCACAATGAGATCAACTTCAGATCACATCCCTAAGGACAGACTTGATTTACCTTAATTTGGAGACACAAGTTTATGTCAATTCCCATATCCGCATTGGAGCTTATTTACTATTAAGCATTGAACCAATAATTATTACATTAATTGTCTGCTGTAAGTTATGTTGATTATTGTTAACCAAAGAATAGAGAAATATTAACAAAAGTCCTGTCTTCATTTAATCAACAACGAGAAATCCAGTGTAGTGGGTATTTGCTATGTGTAGTAATATCGTGACACGTATTATCATGCAAAAATAAACACTGAGAACCGAACGGTTGTTGGCACATCTATTACATTTTACTAACTTTTATAGTTTCGATTTATTGTAAAATTTCCAAATTAAATGACATTACTTTATGTAATATTAATGCATGGTCAGTAACTGATAATGTGAACGATGTCACGGTGTACTGGCGTCGATTGGTGGGTTGACCTGCATAGTGAACCCTCGCACTAACATTCACATATTTATAATTCAACCTATTACCCCCACAGGGCTGACGAGTGGCTTATTTAGCTTTACGCATGTTCATTTACATTGCTGTAGCAAAATTTACATTATCCCGGTTGATTCTGAAAGGTATCACGTTAACCCCATTTCCTTCGCTTCATACTTACACCAATAAGCAGTATTTAGCAATTAGCTTATTCCATAACTTATGCCAGTAAGCTTCATTTGGCTAATAAGTACTATCGTTGCCGGTCAATGCAGAATTTATGTGACCAACCGGTTTTATATTTTTTTAAAAACATAGAAATTTTCGGGTTTTTATTATAAATTTTAATTGAATAATATATCATTGAATGGGTTTTTTTTTTTGATAATAATTAGAACTGTGATATATTTTTTTCTCCATTTTTTAAATGCTATGAATTGTTTTCGGGATATTCGGAATCTGCCCCCTCCCCACAACTGTCATCGAGGCCGTATAGCTGAAAGAGTCAGTTGTTATTATATTTTCATACAATTCTTACCGTGGTCATAACAGGGAATTTTCATCGGAAATGACGTCATGTGTTATGGAGCGGGTGCTTTGTAAATACCGTCTGCTTCGATATAAGGAAATACAGACATGGAGCGCACACAAGACAAAAATGAATGAATGAAATGTGGTTTTATGGCACGTCAGCTCCAACCGGGCTATATTGCGACAAACATATGGTGATTCTTTCGAGACAAGCTAAATCATATCACAAAATTTTATATGCATAAATAAAAACAATATCACAGTGTATCAAATTTAAAAATAAAAAACAACCCTTTATGCATATAAACATTTAAAATAGAAAATATTACACATAAATATATATATACAAATTAAAATTTATAATAAAAAACTGTCTCTTTTAAAAAGTTAAGCATTTCGTAATATAACCCTGGTTTGGCAAAAAATGATGTAGTGACTGGCAACGATAATATCTTGATCTTGTATCTTTGAGATGCTTGCACTCAATCAAAATGTGTTTAACTGTCATGTGAACATGACAGTGTTCACATTCTGGTTGAGGCTCTCGCTTCAAGATGAAAATGTGTGTTAAAAAAGTATGACCTATGCGAGAGCGACACAAAAAAACTTCATCTCTCCTATTAGTTCTATAGGAGTTGGACCAGTCTCCTAAGAGAGGCTTAATGTGATGAAGTTTATTTGTGGCTGCAAGATCCCAAGACCGTTGCCAGCGATCATAAATAAATGTGTTTATGATGTAGAATGGCCTGGAGTTCAGCTGTAAATATGGAAGAAGCAGGTGGAAGACACACAGAAATGGTCTCAGACGGTGTCACGGTAGCCGAAGCTACCGGATTATTATCTTTCGAACCATCTGTATATATTGGAGCATAATCACCATATTTAGACCGTAGCTCTCGGAAGAGAGACTGAAACACCGTAGAGCTAGTATCTCTTTTTTATGTTGTGAAAGATCGAAATTGATCTTTGGGGGAGATATAGCCCACGGTGGAGTCCTAAAAAAGGGGGTATTCGCAATACTGTCAAGGCTGATACCAGCCTCAGACAAAAGGGGTTGTATGCGAATACCAAATGATGGAATGACTTTGGTCTTGAGCAGATATAAATGCTCATGAAGAGGTCTAAATATGGTGTTAAATGAAATATGATTTGGTAAAGATGCTATTTTCGTAGCATACTGCAGGGCAAGTTTATCACGTCTGTAATGCAGTGAGGGCTCATGCGCCTCGACGTATAAACTGTCCACTGGAGATGTACGAAATGCTCCTAAACTGATTCTAAGTCCCTGGTTGTGTATGGTGTCGAGCTCTTTGAGATAAGACTCGCGGGCAGACCCATACACAATACACCCATAATCGAGTTTTGGTCTTATAAGTGCTCGATATAATCGGAGCAAGACCTTGCGGTCTGCTCCCCAGAAGACAAAAATGTAAGGGTGTCCTAGATTGACAGCCTGTCAATTCGAGAGACTTAAGAATCGTTTCTTATGGTTTGATTTAATAGCTAACGGGTGTAAAAACATTGAAGAAATTATACGTCCAGTTGACTCTGCTATTATAAACGGCAGATTATTTAGGCCTGGATATTTATGGTAAATGGACATCGACTAACAACCAATACATGGCAAGTCGCGAGACAATTAAAATTGCCTAAAATAGATTGGGGTACTCGTCTTCGGATGATTAAAACGATTTAAGAGGGACTAGAAGCAAACGTTTGATGGATAAATTAGACTGAATTTGTTTTTCGTCCAAATACGTCTACAACTCACACAGTTTGTACGAGGAAATGGATGTAATTACAATAATTGAGAGTCTGTAATGAAAATGATAAAATGTAACTTTCTTCATATTTGTTTCAGGTGCCTTTAATGCGGCTCTCAATAAACCAACGACTCTCAGTTCAGTTGGATGGGACGGTGTTTCCTCTAGAGCGGTAGATGGCAATACTAGTCCTATCTATGACGACCTGAGTTGCGCGCACACTGATGAAAACCTGAAACTGGATACTGAATGGTTGTGTGTTGATCTAGAGCAGAGTTTTACTATCGGTAGCATTAAGATATTTAACAGAAAAGGTATGTAAAAATACACCTTTCTGACGGCCCCTTCGTCTATCCACGGATTCAAGTTGGTCATAATGAGGAATCCTATAAATATGCAGAATCCTTAATCAGTTTATGCAGAGATATTTAGAAGCCTAATTATCCGCTTTTTTACGCCCTTTGAGATTAAGGTAGAACCTATGCGGAACTATTGCTCGTGTCACCGAAAACTTGATTTCAATATGAAACTGTTCGGTTTGTCACACGAAGACCCTCCCTCCCCCCCCCCGGATTTGTGCGTCGTGTAAATGACTATCGGTTAATTAATAGGTTGGCGAAAGCAAGCAGAATTGCTTCTGTCGCTGATTTTTTTTTTAAATATTTGTCGTTTCAGTCAAGTGTAACCTTAACTGTCATTATCTAATTTAGGTAGCTGTAAATTTTTTTTTTCATTTCCGTATCAGATTATGGAAATCGTCTGGATGGATTTGAGGTTAGGTTGAGTTCTAGTGGTAAGTGTGATAGTTCCGGATTTACATCAGCTACGCAATGCTATAAAGACGACAAAGCATCACCAGGAAACCTAACATATACCATAAAGAAATGTAATGTGGCAGATTTACCATCATTTGCTGGCAGATATGTTTATATATCCGTTGGAAAATCATCTCCTCAACCTCCAATATTGACCGTATGTGAACTACAAATATTTACAGGTAAAATGAATGAATGAAATATTGTTTAATGGCACGGCAGCTCCAACCGGGTTATATTGCGCCAAACATATGTTGATATTTACGAGACACATTAAATGAAATCACAAAATATTAATATACATAAAAACAAATATCACAGTTAACACTATTAAAATTAAATATTATTTTCTGTATATCAAATATTTAAAAGATAAAACATGGAAAAAAAAACAATCTGATTAAAATACTGATCTTTATTTTGTTTCGTATTTTTTATACTTTCGATAACCTGCACTACATGAAGATCTGACCGGTAGTGGACCCTATAACATCAGACATTTGATTAACCAATCAGCGATGATGTTTCTACTGAAATACAACACGCGCCAAGTACTCACCGTAACTCGCTAATCCCTCACATCAATCCGAACGCAGGTTATATAGCAACTCTTCCTGATTCTAGTGTAGTAAAGACAAGTTAAACAAAATTTTGAACTATAAAAATCGAAACGAAATAGGATCTGTGTTGTAATCAGATTTGAAAAAAAACCAAGTATAATATATAAAAACAAAACTTTCTATAAAACGGGTCTCCTTTTAAAAGATCTAACGCGCGGCGTTACAATATAGACCCGGTTGGGCAAATAAATTCTGTAATGACTGACAACGGCAGTATTTGGATCTAACATCTTTAAGATGCTTGCACTCAATCAGCAGACATTATGGAAGAATATATATGAGCTAACGGTTCTGCCACAAAATAGATAACGTTTTGCTGAAAATATCAGTCAAATAATTTGCCTCTGAGCAGAGAATACCGAATTTCAAAAACACCGTAACCTCGATTGTCATTGTTACCGTTGTTACGAAAGTCTTGATTATCCCTTTTTATGGTTAATCATGAACAGCCGTGGTATCGCAGATCGGATTCAAAACTGTTTAAAATCGAGAATTGATTATGGTCTTGTCTGTCATATTAATAAATGTCTAATTAATAGGCCTAAAGAAACACCTGCAATAGACCGATTTAGCTCTTGCATAATGTATGTTTAAAATGAAATTATATGGCATTATCTTTTACCCCTTAGAAAACTGTCCTAATGGCTATTACGGTACCAACTGTGATAAGCCGTGTGTTAACTGTAAAGATGCATGTCAACGATCAGATGGTATTTGTTTGAATGGTTGCAAACCAGGATATTGGGGAAAGGATGGTTCCTGTCATCAGGAATGCCCCAAGTCCTGTAGAGAAGGCTGTTAACTAAATGTTGGTACCTGTTTCGCCTGAGTAAGTTATTATTTATTATCTCCCGTACACGATACCCAAGTTAACCACACACCCCATTAATTAAACGAGACTTGACAATAAACCTTCTGACATTGGTTCGTTTAAGTCTTTTGTGATTGGAGGCAGTGGGACCATGGGGCTTCCTGATGAACAGTAGCGGCATAAAGGCCTCGGGGTTAGCAAATCGTAGTACGCGAATGCGTTGGGGTGGGGGGAAAAGCTTTAGATAACAATCAACAGCTTCAAGGGTACTATGAGAAATTGTGGTGTAATAAATAGCAAGTTGGTCAAGGCATTAAACTGATAGAAACATTGCCCAGGCAGGAATACTAGCTACTGATATTGATTAGGCCAATTTAGACTAGAACACTCGGGTTTCTGGGAAATGATATGTATGTATAGTCGCTGGGGTTGGACGAACAACAACATTGACAGTTGTCATCAAATACGAGTAAACTGCATGTCGTATTCGCAGCAAAATCCCCCTCGAATTGAAAATAAAAACCAAAGTAAATACGAAATAACACTCCATGTAAGTAGAACATGTCCAGGGTAGAGTATCACAGTCTTCGTATGTAATAATGTTTTGTTTTATTTTCAGTACATTGGTGATCTCACTGCCCTGATATGAATATCAATTAAATATTCTAAGCAATTTCTAATACGCAGCCTTTTGAACAGTTTTCACTTATACTTTTCACCAAATTCCTTTATATCGGAAAGCATAGATTCATTTTCAACGTCCCCTTTTTTTCTGCGCTATCCATATTGTTTATTGTATTCAAATTATTCTTGTCTTATTCTAAAACTAGTTTAAAGGGACAATAACACTCTTGCTGGCTTGACAGCTCCAGAAAATAAAAAAATATCCTTATTCTAAGTACTAGATGTGTTAGTGTCCTACCTGTTGTGTAAATTATCCATTAAATCCTATTTTACTTGTCCAGAGGGTTCGAAAATATTTTTAAATCCAAGTCACATTTGAAAAGGTTTACTTTAGGCTTTTCAAATCATTTAGTTGAATTTTTCCAATTTTTTAAATTAGGTGTGTTGAGATGAATTTGTATCATCAATTAATTGGAATATTGTAAAATAGTACAATTTGTTGACCAGAATAAAGATTGGGACATATTATTCAGTTACAACAAGAGTGGTATTGAGCCTTTAATATTATCTATATATAAACTTTAATCTATCTTGTTTACCTAGAAATTTACTGTATTATTTATTTTGAACCTTTATCTAATTTAGTTAGAAACTTGCTCTTATTTCACTGGGAATAAACTTTGCAAATTAGATTTGTTATTATATTTGGGATATTATCTAGAACATAAAATATAATATCACCGACCTCAGAGAGTGAAATGCATTGCAGTTTACCTTCCCACTGCTTTGCACCGACGGGATTAATGAAGACGGGCATGTGTTATGCAAAACATGAAATGAAATGGGGTTTAACGTCCTACTGTTCTGCTCCTAAACTGGGCTAATGAAGACGGGCATACACCATACAGTGTGCTATGAGGGAAATTTTGCCCGGGCAGAGGCGCTACGGCCTACTCTTATATTGAATTCTAACTGCCAAGGGATCTTTTACGTGCACGCCAATATGTACATGGGGCCTCGGTTTTTCGTCCCATCCGACTGACTAGACAGCTGTCCTTGTCGGGCCCTCCGTCCTGCATCACTGACAAGGAGAAACCACGCTGGAAAATCAGGATGAACTTTCTCAGCCAATGCAGGGATCAAACACCCGACCTCCAGGCTAGCGAGCCAGCGACTTAGCCACGTGATCCCCCATATGTTATGCTATGAGGGAACTTTAGCCTGCTCATATGTTATGCAATATGCTATGAGGAAACTTTAGCCTGGACAGTGGGGTTACGGCATAATCTTATTTCGAATTCTACCTGTCCAGTGTTCGTACACGGAATTTCGGTTTTTCGTCCCATTCAAACGACTATGCCAGGCTCTCTAGAATATACAAAAGGAAATGTTATTTTATGGCACGTCAGCACCAAACGGGCTATATTGCGCTAAACATATGGTGAATTTTGCGAGACAGGCTAAATTATATCACAGAAAAGAAAATTTATGCTTAAATAAAAACAATTTGTCCGTTTCACAATGTGTTGCATATGTACACGATTTCTTCGTCCCAGAAACTTTCTTGGATACAGATAATATGGAATTTGTAGAATGTAAATATACCTGGGTCCTTTAGAGTAAAAGGTTAAAAGAGAGAGAAAAATAGGGTTTAACGTCCACTCAACACAAACTAGGTCATTTCGGGAATTAACACATAGTTCAATATTTTTATTTCAATAATTCGCTTGCGCGTAGGGGTCTTTACCAGTGGGAGGATACCGGAGGACCCAGAGAAAACCCATAAAGTTGGACAGGCGACCCTACTACTTGTCACGTACAACCTAGGAATCGAAACAACGCCAGTTGACTCGATGACATATCTTAAGATACAGCGCATTCGCCCCCCCCCCCCCCAAGGTTATAAGCTTAGGCACCGAGATGATTTTTTTTAAAGCGGTTTCCATGTCGTGTGGAATCTTATCTGTAAACGTCTCGGGGTGATCTTCAGGGGCTATTTTCCATGTGCTGATTATTTTGTGCGGTTGGGATTATTATTACTGTGTTGTCTCCCTGTAAGTCGCCATGCATCATTGCGTTTTGGTAATCTTGATCCATTAGTAATATTATCGGTCACTTATCGCCGTTGTTTAGTGTTTTTGTACCACTGTTAATACTTTTAATCTTTTCTGCAACAATTCTGTGGATTGGGCACACTCTATAATATAGGGTGAGGATGAAGTTTTACCGGTACTTGTATCGTCTGCTTGATTTGGATGGATGCGGTTAACAGTCAGTTCACAGTAGTAATTCAAATTAAAAGTAAAATAAATCGTTTTATGCATATAAATATTTAAAATACAAAAATGAAAATATAATATATACACTTAAAATTTATGATAAAATCCTGTCTCTTTTAAAAAGTCTAACACTTTATTAAATAAACCCAGTTGGGCAAATAGATTATGTAAAGTCTGGCAACGGTAGTGTGTTTTTCCTATATTTTTGAGATACTCGCACTCAATCAAAATGTGTTTAACTGTCATCCCTCCTGTTGGTTCTATAGGAGTTGGGCCAATCTCCTAGGAGAGGCTTAATGTGATGAGTTTGTTTGTGCCTGCAAGATCCGAAGACCGTTGCCAGCGGCCATATATAAAAGAATTAATGGGGGATTTAAAATCGGTGAATGATAAAAGGAATTTTGATATGGGAAGATCTAAAGCAGACTTGGCAGCGAAGTCTGCTTGATCATTCCCTTTAATATCAACGTGACTGGGGAGCCAGCAAAGGACCGTGTCCTTGCCGATAAACTCGTGTGTTAGTAGCAGACATTTATCGTCTGCTACTAATGGGTTTACAAGCTGTTTATTGCTTGTAAAGAAGACAGAGAATCAGTAAATATAACGTGTTTTACAGTAAAAGATGATTGAATGAACAAACTCCAGTGCCTGAAAGATGGCCTGGAGTTCAGCAGTAAATATGGATGCAGCAGGTGGAAGTCTGACAGAAATGATTCCAGATGGTAAATCGGAGCATAATCACCATATTCAGACCTCAGTTCTCGAAAGAGGGACTGAAACACTGTGGAACTAGTATATTTGTTTTTCGTTAGATCTAAATCGATTTTTGGAGGCGATATGGTCCAGGGTGGAGTACTAAACAAAGCGGTATTCGCAATACTGATGCCAGCCTCTGACAAAAGGGGTTGGATGCGAATACCGAATGATGGCAGAGATGCAATTTTTTGTAGCATACTGCAGTGCAAGTTTATCACGTCTGTCGTGCAATGAGGGCTCGTGCGCCTCGATGTATAAACTCTGCATTGGAGATGTTCGAAGTGCTCCTAAACTGATTCTAAGTCCTTGGTTGTGTATGGTGACAAGCTCTTTGAGATAAGACTCGCGAGCAGACCCATACACCCATAATCGAGTGTAGATCTTATCAGTGCTCGATATAATCTGAGCAAGACCTTACGGTCTGCTACCCAGTCAGTTTTTGATAAGACTCAATATATTGAGGGCTTTCGTACCTTAAACGACCTATCTTCTAAGTAATGTTTAATGAAGATAGTTAAACGACCACGCAGACCGAGGTTATGCAGGTCGCGCATGATACCATATTTCCATGTGGTATCATATGCTTTCTCCAGATCAAAAAATATAGCAATTAAATGTTGTTTCTGGATGAAAGCATCCCTGACAAACGTTTTAAATCTAACGAGATGATCAAGAGTGCTCCTTTGGGACCGAAATCCACATTGGAGGTCAGTAAGAAGGTTGTTGGACTCGAGGTACCAAACAAGCCTTCGATTGATCAATCTCTCCATGGTTTTGCAAATACAGCTAGTTAAAGCGATTCGTATGATCTTTACCCGGTTTGGGGATGGGAATTATTGTGGCTTCATGCCACGAAGGAGGGAAATTCCCATCAACCCAAATCCGGTTAAAAAGATCTAATAAAATTAGGAGAGTTGGAAAAGATAAATGTTTTAGAATTTAATAGTGAATTTAATCTGGACCAGTTGCAGTGTCACGGGCCCGTTTAAGAGTATCGCGGAGTTCAGCAATGCAAAACTTGTCATTATAGCATTCATCATTACGGGACTTAAAGTTAAGTCGCCTTTTCTCCTGCCGATTCTTAATGTCCCGAAATGCATCGGAGGAGAAACTGGATGATGAATTACCAATATCAGGAAATGTTGTTAAGGTGGTATAATCAACATTTAGAATGAATGAATGAAATGTGGTTTTATGGCACGTCAGCTTCAACCGGGCTATATTGCGCCAAACATATGGTGAAAATCACAAGACAGGCTAAACTATATCACAGAAAAACATTATATGCATAAATAAAAACAATATCACAGTTGTAAGGTTCGGTTACGTGCAATCCTGTTCATTCGGATAAACACATATTCGTTTCAATGTTTTCATCTTATAAATCACCAAAAATTCGAGATCTCACTAAAAATTCAAGTTTTATTATCTTTCGGCATCTTTCAACAATAAGCATAACATCTTTCAAACAATAAACATAACGTCTTTCTACAATAAGCATAACATCTTTCAACAGCTTAACGAGTGAATCAGTAAATGAGTGAGTGAATGAGGTAGTGAGTGAGGTAGTGAGATTCGATTTAATTGGTGACTTTTCTGAACTTAAAACATATTCATATTCATCTTTTTCAACAATTTTCAACAAAGGCTTTCAACAGTGCTGGTGCCTTGATTTCCACAAAATATTCAACATGGCTATGTTGCTAAGCAACCTGACAGAGCTTCGGTTCTAGCCCACCAACACATTAATTACTAGTAAATTGCTCAAAATAAAAAAGTGGTCATCATGCATAATGGAGACAACATTGCGCCCCCCATGAAGGGTCTCTCTTAAGACAGCTTCATCACCTAATATAATATATCAAATTAAATCTTTCTAACAAATCTTTCAAACTAATTATTTCAAACACGTATCAAAGTAATGTTTCGAACAAATCTTTCTAACCATGTATTTTTAAAAACACATCTTATAAAATAATCTTTTGAACAAATCTTCAAACACATCTTATAAAGTAATCTTTCAAACAAATCTTTCAAACTTTCAACATTCTAATTCAACAATTTTTTTTTTTTTTTGTTTTTTTTTTTTTACAAATCAGAGTTATGGGCTTCTAAAAAACACAGCCTGGTTATCGGTCTCTTAAAAATACCATTTTTTGTTTTAACTTCTGCTGACCTGACAAGTCCATCAGGTCCTTTAAAAACATTTGTTATACGTCCTAGGAGCCATTTACTCCGTGGCAAATTTTCACTGACTAAAAGTACTAGGTCTCCTTTGCACAAATTCTCTTTAACTTGATGCCATTTTTGTCTGTTTTGTAACGAAGGTATGTACTCCTTCAGCCATCGCTTCCAATAATGCTCCGAAAGTAATTGTGCCTGTCTCCATCGCTTTTTATGAAATCGATCTGACTGACTTACTATTCCTGGAGGAATATTTAAAGAAGGTCTTATGTTTAGAAAATGATTTGGGGTTAGGGGTTCACAGTCATAAGGCGTCATTGGGTTCTTTGTTAAAGGTCGATTGTTTGCGATGTATTCCGCTTCAGTGAATACAGTCTGTAAAATTTCATCTGTTACTGGTTCCTTTAAGACAGTTTTTAAACTCCTTTTTACCACTTTTACCAAG